AGCTGTATCCAAACTTAGTTAACAGTACATACAAACTTGAAGACAACTCAGTAGTGAAGTATAGTAATATATGGTCAGGAACATTAAAGGTGTTGAGGTGATTTTTCTCAGTTACATACACCCATTTCATTATAAATTCTTCAAATGTTCCTACTGCAAAAGGCCAAGCTCTTCAGTAGTTTCACAGCAGCATAGGGTAAGAAACCTATGCCCAGGTGGATAGTTTTTCCTAAAGCTCACCTTGATCTAACTCTTTTGCTAGGGAAGTTAATCATTAAAAGCATGGGTTAAATACTTTGGAAAACAATATTGGAAGCTGATGCAGTTTTTGAATGATCGCACAATGTAGACACAGGAAAAGAGATTGATTTTTGTAAATGACTCCAGTGTTGGCATTCATATGCATTATTTATCTATGTATGCACTGTGCCATATGAATGTTAAGTCTCATCATGTTATTTGAGGACTCTACTCTGTAACTTCATTAATGTTCTGTAGTTATGTCTTTGCCTCACATAAAGCCAATCTGTGAGAAGTCATTTTATTTTGTTCTAACCAGACTGCAATTCCTAGATCTCTATCAGATGTAGTCGTGTTACGGTGCTTATGTTCAGCTGCTCAGTTATTTCAGAACTATTTATTCCATTTACAATTGGTAACCAACTCAAACAAGATTAAGACAGGATCCACTACCAGTGCAAATTCTCAAAGGCCATCAGAAGGCAGTAAACACCTATTTGTTTCCTTACCTCTGTTAGATTTTTCCCATCTTTCAGTGAAGGTTGAGATTGAGATCATAGTGTCTGCATTACTGTTTTTTTTTTCCTGCTGAAAATTAATGTCACTGAATTTTCTTATTGCCTCTCTGTCCAGTCAGCTATGTGAGGGATAGCTCAAGCTCTGGTGACTGACTGCTCAGAGCTAGGAAGACAGAGACACAGGTGGGTGTTTTTGCTGGATTCCTGTCATTGATTCGGGCTGTTCCTTTGAACCCTTTTGGAGTTTCTTTGCCAGAACTCCTTGAAGAGGGTCTACAAGGATGGCTATACCTCTTTGACTACCATATATTGATGGGGCAAAGGGAGGAAAGCTTACTCAGTCCTCTGTTGGTTTCATCCAGCTCACCTGCTCCAGAGAGTTCTGCATTTCTCTGCTTTCCCCGTAAGTTATCTGCGAGAATCAGTTGGGCAATATCCCTGTTTTTTTTATGCCTGAAGAGTTTGTTATGGAAACAAATAATCTAGCCCCGTATTTGAGGATGATAACAAGGATATATTTAATGCAGAAGAATTTCTGTCTGTATAAGACTGAAAGAAAAAGTTTTAACATACGTGCTCTCCCAAAATTTCTCTTCCCTAATATGTTTATCATATAATTATGACTTCAACCTCTCCTCCTTCAAATGAAGGCGTATGAAACTGCCATATATCATCTTAGAATAGATTTTTTTTCTACACAGGATATCTAACCTTTGTTCTCCATGACAGCACTTAAAGATTTTTCTCAAATAGTAACTTCTTGTTCAAGTCACAAGATGCTGGAGCTGCCTTTTTTCATGTTCATCTTTTCTACATTGGAAACTGTGCAATTTTCTCTTCAGAGCTAAACAATAAGGATGTGCCTCTGATACTGGATAAAAATCCAGAGCAAACGTTTCACTGATTGCAATAACTAGGGTTACTCTTATGTTCTCTTCGGTCCTTCTGGTTATTAATATATATATTTTTTAATTGCAGAAACACTTAAAAATACACATGCATGCGTACATGTCCACACACACACATGAAGTTTCAGTTCTTATGGATAACTCTTTAAATTCATAATTGGTGTCAGCCTGGGACCCAAGATGGAATTATACCAAATTTGTAGAACCTTCTGAAAGCATCAGTGTTAGTATTTTTTTTTATGACTAAAGCACATGTAATATTCATTTCAATATTTGTGTTTCATTTTATACTCTGTGTACTGTAACATTTGTCTTGCATTGCAAATAAGAAATAGAGAACACATTTTTGTCCTAATTTTGTTAGCAATCTTTTCTTTTAATGTATCTAAGTGCAAGAGTGATAATTATAATTAAAAAAAAACCCAAAAACCTAAGCACCTTCTTCATAGATTAGAGGCTTAAACTTTTATATTCTTCCTTTATTCTGAATGTGTCCCTCAGGAAACAGCTCTCTAATAATCACCTTGCCTACACTTCTTCAGTCACACATTACATTCTCTCTCCCACTTTCTTTCAGGTTAATATTAGTGTTTGTCAGCAGCAGCAGCAGACTTTCTTTTTTTTTATTTTTTTTTATTTTTTTGAGTCTCTGAGTCATTACATTAACAGCTATGTTCTCGATAGAGAGTTCAGGGTAGGGAAAAAACCAATCCTGTTGCCTACATTACTCTGACTGGTAGAAAACCAGAAGGCTACTCACTCCCTTTAAATGCCAAGTGTTCAATTACTTTCTGCCTGAGGGCTTGGGGTTTTTTTTTGGTTTTCTTTTTTTAACTTGGGGGAAAAAGTCAAATGTGATGCAGTAGGTTACTTAAGCTTACCATGAGGAATGCCAGTTTCAGATCTTTCCAAAGTATGACAGTTCTTCTCCGAGTATTTCTTCAGCAAAGGTCAGTTGGCTGATTTTATAATCCCGATTAGAAGAAGTGTAATCTCAGTACAATCTTGTGGGTGTTTGTGAATATTACCAAACCATTTCACTAGTTATCCTGAGGAGGGATCTCTACCGATAAGAGGTCTAGGCAATAGAAGAGGTTTTGCAAGCTTGTCTTCCGGGAGCTGGGAAAGCACAGGGAAGCATTTAGGGAGCTGGAGAGCAATATTTCTGGTTCTGACTCTTGCTATCCTTCTTGCACAGAAACGCCCTGAGGTGCAAAACAGTTATTGCAAACAAAGTTTCAGAGTATATACTACAGTGTAGCATTGGCTCAAGTGCAAAACATCAAGTGTGAGTTTCAAGGATATGTTAAGTCTCATTTGGAGATCACACTCAACCATGAATATATCTGTTTCACCTGAACAATTTTCTACAACATAGGCCTTTTAACTGAACTGGAGGTAATGGGTTTCCTCTTGGAGATTGATGATCAAATCAAAACCTTTTTAACCAGTCAAGCAAAATCATGGTGAAAAATGCCATAGAAATATCTAAGTATGTATATTAATAATAATATGTAAATAAAAAGGCATTGTTATTTTCCTCATTGCTAAGTACCCCCTAGTCAGACAGAGCTCTTTGCAGCTGTTAGAACTGCTGCACTGTAATTCAAAGCCAACTGTAAAACCTTGAGATGGATGAAGGTATCAAGATGAATGATCATGCAATGGTTAGCAGAGATCCTGCTGGTGAATTTAATGGCTGCACTTGTCAGTCAAGGTGGTAGGTGACAACTCAGTTTGAAAAGGTGACAATAAAGTAGATTGGAAAAACACACCAAAGGCTGATGGACAGACACTGCAAAAGAGTCTTTAGCATTCAAGATTGTATTTGTCTCACTTCCTGGAGACTGGGAAATCTGGTGCCTCTAGGAAAAAGCATTCTGTACTGACTGCAAGCAAGCAGGCATGGTCTATGTGGAGAGTGAAGGATAGTCCTCTCCTCTCCCATTTTTCATCTATGTCTTTGACTGTGGTGCAGGCCTTTCTTCTTTTTTCTTTTTCTTTTTTT